AACAATGGAAACCAAGAACCATAGTTCGTCTAATGTTTACTTCTTTGAAGAATTAGATTCTTGGAGGACGATTTCATTTTGAAGCGAACCAATATACAGGTCATGACCATAGGCTAGGATTACTTATCCATGTTGCATCGCAAGCCATCAAGAAATAAAATCATTATACTTTTTGGTACTAATTAAAGTAAGTTCCTAAAACTCAAGGTAGCTAATAAGTCTTCAACCATCTCCTTCATACCGATAACTCAACATGCCTCACTCACACTTCATCTTTTGTTCACTCAATTTCTGATTCATGTACCTTAGATCACATATCTGGTAGATAATCTATTTATATCAATCCACTCCTTTATCACTATCCATAGTCAAACTTATCAATGGTACCAAAACAATGCCTAAGGACACCTATCAAGTCTCTATTATTCCATTAAATCCTTATTGATATGGTATTTGATTTTCCATATTAAGTTTCACATAACTTATGTGAGTTCAATACCGAAAACCAAATGTTGTATTGACTATACAAAAATTATATTAATAATGAAATCAAATATTGTATAAGTTAGAGTCCGTTTGGATTTTTAGAGGGAGGAGATTTTTAAATGGTTCAGCGTTTCTTTGGTGATGCCAAGATCCGTGAAGGAGTTGATGTTCAGCTGTAAGAGTGGAGCTAGGAGAAGAAAGCACAAGGCCTGGAATGTTACTCCTCTTGCTTTAATGAGGGCCATTTGGAGATGAGCTTTTGCTCATTTGAGGAGTAGACTCCATTCCCTTATTTACTTTAGGCGCACCCATGTAGTTTCTCTGTATATAGAGGATTGGGTGTATTTTGGAGAGAACAATTTTTTGTAGGTTTCTCCTCTTTTTGGTATACCTTGTAAATGGTCAAGTTGACCTTGTTATTACCAAAGAACCCTTTTACTTGATACAAAAAAAAAAACAATGCAGTAGGTCTTTAGGAGATTCTGGCATGAACCAGTAACTTCAAGAAAATTTAAGAACATGCATCATGGTTTGTGATTCTGTGATGGATAAGCAAGTGTATTGCATCTTTATTAACTTCTTAACACATAATCATCTATTCCATATAGTTATACTTCTTTGTAGACTGTGCAGGGTCAAGCAGTCTCTCCTATACTAGCCATGAAACAATTCTACCTTGTAATGTGTTCTGGTTCTCCATATCAATTTTATGGGCATACTTATTCTTGTTCATTTTTAGACAAAAAATTCAAGTTTCATTGTGAATAGGTCATCCATATCCTATGTTCCTTCCATACTGTCATATCTGGCATAAACTGTTGCCCTTGGATGCTTTCTGTCATCAGCAGTTCCCGATCATTTAACCTTCTCTTTGAGCGAAACTGGCTTGGTTCTTCTTATGGTGTCAAATGGGTGAGTTGGTCAAATTTGGGCAGGTCAAAACAGTTGAGTGAATGGACGGGTCATGACCTAACTCACCTAAAGTCTGTTTCGGCCAAAATGGGTTGGATTGAGATAGGTTAAATTGCAGGTCATAAGTCAACCCACCCAATAGTTATTGATATTGAAGCAACACTGAGTCAAAGTTACTCAAAGCTGGACAGACTTAGGAGGGATTTTCTGTGGCATGGTTGTAAATAGGGCAAAGAATATAAACTAGTCAATTCGCAGATAACATGCACAGTAGAGAACAAGGTGGTTTGGGCATCAGAAATTCGAGAGCACAGAAAAATAGTTTATTGATGATATGGCTCTGGAGATACAATGGGGAGGATCACGCATTATGAAGGGAGGTAACTAGACACAAGTTTGGTGAACTCAGCCCATGGTGTACCAACGTGAGCACTGATACTTATGGAGTTGGAGTTTGGAAGACCATTAGAGCTCTATGGCCCAAACTGGAAGGGAACTCTCAGAAGAGAGTTGGAGATGGGAAAAAAACAAAATTCTGGAATGATGCTTGGAAGGAGCTAAGTCCATTAATGGAGATTTCTCCAGAGCGGTTTAATCTAAGCGACAACCCAGATGGCGCCATTTATGATATGTGAAGTGCACAGGGATGGAACTTATTCTTCAGGAGATTGCTAAATGACTGGGAGATCGATAGACTAGTCGATTTGCTAAATAGGATTTGATGATTTCAATGCCGCTACTGCTGAACCAGATACATTAAGATGAAAACACAATATTGATGGGCAATTCTCTGTTAAAAGGGTTTATGAAAAAGAAGAAAGGGTAGAGTGTAGAGGGCAACCAAAAATATGGAGAAACTTATGGAATAGTCCATCCCCAACCAAGGTAAAATGCTTTACTTGGTTGGTGGTAAAAGAGCATGCCTGACACAAGAAGTTTTGAAGAAAAAAGGGGCCATCATAGTTTCCCGGTGCTTCTTATGCAATGAGACAAATGAAACCAACAGTCATCTATTTTTGCACTGCACCTTTACAACACAACTTTGGTCTCTATTTCTCAACATAACAAAGACAAGCTGGACTATGCCGGAGCATACTGCAGATTTGCTTAGTTGCTGGATGAAAAGAGGAGACAGAAAAAGTCAAAAGAAGTGGTGAAGGATCATCCCACAATGCATCTGGTGGATAGTTTGGAGAGAGAGAAATGGGAGGTGTTATGAAGATAGTTCCAATTCCATCCAGAGAGTTTTGAGGATATAGACTAGTTTGTAGATTTATTAAGATCTGGGTAAGTATCTTGTTTTCTTGTTGTTGTTTTTTTTCTCTAACAGTTTTTTATGGTGTTCAGCATGTTCTTAATGCTGAGGAATATATATTTACCAGTTTCAAAAAAAAAAACTACTCAACATTTGCTTGGGTCAATGTTGAGTAGGTGAGATGTAGGATGGGAAGCGGGTGGAAGGTGGCGTGAAGATGGTGCTTTTAGTCTTAGTCAATGTTGGACTTCGACCAACAGTCTAACACTTAGATCGCAAGGAATTTAGAAGAAGCATATCTCAATAACTGAATTCTACAACTTTGGCCCTTAGACAATACTTTGACACAAACAGAGTGCAACTGAAGAATTCCATGGGTTTATTAGCTGATCAATTTAATATATGGGTCAATTCAGATAACAACCCAATTGACTCATTAAGAAAATACGTATGACCCAACAATAAAAGTTTGGGCGAGTTCGGAGGATTACACATTTCTAGGTCAAATTTGACACCTTAAACAACTATAAACCTGATATATAGTCCAACAAATAGGGTCTGGAGAGGGTAGAGTGTACACAGAGCTTACCTACCTTACCTCTATCTTGTTAGGTAGAGAGGTTGTTTCCGGAGGGAGTAATAATTTTTCTTGCTCATTTTCCTTCTCTGTACTTATGGACGAGACAAATCATATCACATAACTATACCTTTGAAGAGAAGACAACGATGGTTCTTACGTCAACGGTCAATCTGACTTTAAAACAAGACAGTAATTCCACTGACCCCTTAAAAATCACCCACAACTCTTGTGTCTGACTGACTCAACTATACCAATTAATACTTCTCTCTGTCCCTTTCTTTTTCTATATACCAAAGGAGGGGACAGATTAGACCACACAGAGGCAGATGTAGCATACAAATATCGGCTTCATTTGAACTCAGTACTTTCAACACAGAGAATAATTTTTTATGTAAAAATTACACAGAAAGTTGAGATCCTTGGCTCTGTTTAGATTTTAGATTCAGAAATCCTGTTTTGTTGATAGGTTGTAATCATGGTTTTCAGGATAACCCATGTACTGGTTTTAGTCAATACAGACGAATGTTACCTTGCTCAAAAAAAAATATTGCACCAAATAGTAGATTTGTAACCATATCTTTAAAGATGTAACGGGTTCAATCCTAAGAACCTTAAATGTTGAACCCATAGAACTTCAATCTTTTTTTAAAAAAATTAATCCAATAAACTTCAATCTTGGATCCGCCTTTGAAGACAGAGATAGTTTTTACACCGCTCTAACTTAACTAGGACAATAATTCTACTGCCCCTTTGACTCTTCAAAATCTCCTTCAGGTAAGATAGAAGATCACTTAACGTTTCATGTTGAACTGGTGCTGCTGAGCCGTCTTGAACTAGTCAGTAAAGTCAAGAACTCCCAATTCCATTGTTGTTTATTTCACATCTCGTTCTTCAATTTTTTGTATTCTAACCTCATAGTGTGGTTTTCATCTACTGCAATACACTTGGTGTGATTCTGACATTGACAATTCATAATTTGCATCATTTAAAATATTCAGTAGTGCAGATTAAATTGAGCCGAAGAGTAATTTCAGCAAGCTTAGAAGCTCAGAAAGCTCAGTAAGACCCAAGGTTGGTTGTTTAAGTTTCAATCATAACTGGTAGAACTTGACTCGAATTACAGCAGTATAAATGCTAATATTATACAGTGTAATTCTTTGAAGAGAACTTTCTTCACTTACATCTCCAGTAATACAAGGAGTAGTCAGTTTTCAGTGTAAGGAAACTCTTTCAGAAGCTTCTCAATGTTATCATATGATAGCTAAGTTGAAGAGAAATATATTTTTTTATTAATTTGGCTTTGGAGATCACGTTTTTTAACTCATTCCCCATCAACTTACAAACAGCTGAAACAGTTTGGACAATATATAATACTTCATTGTAGGAGAACTGCAATTGAGCAGCATTGAACAGCTTGACATAAAGAACAACCCCAGAACCTGTCCTGTTTCCTCATCATATAAAGTTATAAGCATACAGAACTTATCTTTGGCAATAACATAGCTAGCTGTTATCCATTCACACAGTTATAATTGTTTGGTTACTTGATTCAACTTCTACCCAATATCATATAGAGGTCAAGCACAACCGATAGTTTATGATCTCTATAATAAAAGAGAATAAGCCAAGTATGGCAAAAAAGAAATAGGACAAACCAACTAGTAATAGAAGAATCAAACTAGTCATGTAATCCTCCAAAATTCCAAATTTAATCCACATACTTGAATTAGTGGTCTAACTATTCGTACATTAAGTAATTCCACTTACCTGGGGAACGGGCTGTTGTATCACTGACTCTACAGCAACAATCATAGAATGCACAAAATCATCACCTCCAGTACCAATAGCTGTAAAGCCTCTTTCAGTTGGGTAAGAATTCACCTTTTAAGTATAAAAGTATTTATCAGTTTCTCATCAAAGTAAAACAGTAGTTGTGAATCTTGCGATCGGTTATGAGTGATTAATCATCTCTACAAATATGACGCATTTGGCATTAATCTTTAAATCTTTATCTAAATTGCAGACAAATAAAAATTGGGTTTAGGAATTCGCACCTTCTTATCGAGAGCTAGCCACTCATTAGTTGAATCATCATGCACGGTGCCTCCAATAACAACATTGGTAGTTTGTCCAACTCTCCCTTCTGTCTTGGACACTTCTGAAATGGCCTTAAGGACAACTTCTTGAGGAGGACCCTGTTCATCTGGGTTTCCGTTATTGGAGCAATTAAGAAACTGAGTTCTTCTATAATTTGGGGATTTACATTTACAGCGACAAGGGAAAATGGATAAAGAAGATTTGTGGTTATAAAATAATGGTAGAGGAAAAGAGGTGGGATTCCTTGGAAGAGATAACCATGGTTCCTTTGACAATACCGTTCTCAACACACTCCTGCACGCCATTCTTGATAATCCTTCTCTACACTCTTTCAGAGCTATATGCACAAGTGAACCAACGGTTTTCCGACCTCACCAGCTTTTGCTTTGGCTGTAACTTCAAATAAATATGGACTTGGCCCCAAATATTTATTTGTTTTATTTTCAACAATAAAATATAGAGTATATAAAAATTATATTTGATGTTATAGCTATACTTTGTATAATTATACTCCATAGCTAACATAAATATGTATATTTCGCTATACATATAAAAAAAATAGTTGTATAATTCGTTGTACATATACAAAGAAATCAGTTGTATACATATACGAAAAAAAACAGTTGTATACAAACGATCAATTGTATAATGTTGTGTATGTATAAAACGAGAAAGAGAGAAAGTCAAAAGAAAATTTGGCAGAGAAATATTTGTATTGTATAATTATAATTATATGGATGAAGATATATGTATTTGCATTTGTATATACAATTTTCTCTCCCTTTATACAAAAAGAAACACAATTTATACATTTTGTTTTTTGTTTGTATAAGCGAGAGAGGCGAGGGCGGCGAGCAAGATATGAGAGAATGACGAGCGAGATCTGGCAGAGGGGAGAGAGGGGAACAAAAATATATGTATAGATACAATTTTTTCTCGCTTTATACAAACACAAAAATATTTTATACATTTGTGTTTGTATAAAAGCGAGAGGGAGCAAGCGAGAGAGGGAAAGTAGCGAGCAAGAGTTTGAGGGAGAGAAACGACTAACAAACAGTTTGCTCTAGGGCACAATTAATCAAAGTGTAGTTATGACATTTAATTTAATTTATTAATTTGTCATTATATACAATTTTTCCTAACATATACCATAATAGAGGAGAGGGTTTTTTATTTTATTTTTCATCTCTTCCCCAAATTTATGAATTATTATGTGGGTTTCATAAAGGCATACAAAAGATTAGTCATAAACATAATATCAATTCGGGAGTTATGAGGAAATATTATAGATTTGTGGGAGCTAATATCATTAAAATGAGGAGTAGAGACTTCATTTCTCGAAAAATGGATATCCACAATTAGTTTCATAACACGCCTTTTAATTGTTCATGCCTTGATTGATAATGTGTCTCATTAAAATTATTCTAGAAAAATATTGTTGGAATTTTTTAGTGAAGAAAAAAGAGTAGACATATCTTCTTTTAATAGGTATTGTTTGTTGTCTCATAAAGATCTTGCTAGAATAATTCAATGGGACAGACCTAGCCAAGGAAAAAAGTGTGGGTATTTTATTCACCGTTTTGAAAACATCACATTATTTCTTAGAGACTGTCATGCCCAAAGGGTACCCCCTAGACGTAACATGGCGTACTTGACTTCGAAGGGGTCGCATACAAGCCCTTAGCATAATCATAACATAAAATCATAGAAATCAAGGGAAACATTAAAACATATTTAAACCACACAATCGAAAACACTTTCATAAAGCAAACGGGAGACTTTTACTAACTCTGTAAGGACCATCAAATGAATTTAGGTGGTTAGAGACTCATATGTGTCTAAAATGGATTAAAATATGTTAAACAAATGTTTTACAGTATGCATACTTGATTTGAATTCATTTGGAGGACAAACGTCCAATGATGTTCGAAAGTTAGCCTTGAGACGTGCATGTATGTTTTGGTGTGTCTTGACATGTTTTACGAGTTTTTTTTGATTGAAACTTATGTGGAAGGTCCCTAACATGTTAATGAGTATATTTATATTGGAAACATCCGGGTACGACTCCAAAGGACCCCCGCAAAATTCCCTTAAGGAGGATCTCAAACACTGCCAGGCATTGCCTTGGTAGTGTCAAACGACGGCCTTGAATGACGCCTCGTCAGTGAACCTACACCCCATCGATGGAGGCATCGTTCAACACTTAGCCTGGTGAAGGATCAAGCCAAACGACAACCCTCCGACCCAAACGACGGTTGCCAATACGACCCGTCGATGGGTCTACTAGGCGTCGTTTAGTGGCGTCAATTCAGCATGCCATTGCCGCCAAGCATACTATTTTATTAAGGGGTGAATGAGAAATTTACCCCACGTTCCCAAACTACTATAGACGATTATTTCATGTATATTTGGGTATATTAAGTTGGTTATAAGAATCAAACCCCCAAACACAATTTATATTTCAAAATTAGACTTCCCTCTCCCAAAGAAACCTCTCTACAAACCTCGAATGGAATTGAAGCTCAAGAACAGCATGGATCTAGGATTCCCTTGGATTCTTCACAAATATTTCGTGGTTTTCTCCTAAAATGAGGTATGGTGATCCTTCATCCTTAGTCAACCTTTCTTCTAAGGAGTCCCTTCCAATTTCAATGAAAGTTCATGATCAAACCTCTAATCTCCCAATCTAGCCATGGGTTCTTTCTCAAAATGTTTTCAAAATCTTGATTATGATGATTTAATGTTAATGTACTGATTGTAAAGTGAATTTCAATCCAATTGCATGATGAACCCATGTTCCCTCCAATTCTCAAAATTACTCTATGTTATGGGCATTGTGATCTTGATTATGTGTTAATTGAATACTGATCCTATTATGTTGAATTGGCTATTACTACTGTTTTATACTCAAATTGGTGGTGAATTATTGATGATTCATCCATGTGGATCAAGTCTTGGAGAGTTGGTAAAGATTGACTTATGTTCTTCTATCTTCTATTGATTTTTAATGTAGAGCACTTGTATGATCTCGATTCTGGGGCAATTGAAGTATGATTTCGTTTAGGTTATGATATCTTTATATACTGACCTATATTGCATAATTTATGAATTATGAGTATTGATTATTGATGATCAAATCAAGGGAAATTTGGTAAGATTGATCTATGTTCTTCTATCCTCTATAGATTGATAATGAAATGTGTATAATGTGATTTTAATTCTAGGATAGATGAAGCATGATTTAGTTTATGATTAATATACATTTAGATACTTCCCTATAATTGAATTGTTGATGAAATATGAGTATTGATCAATTGTGATAAAAGGTTGATGAATTGGTAAAATCGCCTACTTTCTCTACTTCTCTTGTAGAATTGCTAGATGATTGGCCTTGTATGGCATTGTGTAGTATGGTCCACTTATGGTGGCAGTGTTTACTTTATTCTAAATATATATGTAATTTGATCATGGCATTGAAGGCAATTGTATTATGAAGGTGTGGTGGTGTTGATCACAAAATGTTAAGTATGCCTAGTATTCCATTCTAGTTATAATCTAGGTTGTGTGGCTATTGTTATAAGCATGTGAATGACTATGTTAGGGTTAGGTTTTTGTAACACTTCGAAAATCCAAGATGTGGTCTAGAGCCTAACATAAGTGTCACAAAGTGTATACATTCTTTTAAAGTTCATTTTAATGATTATAAGTCATTTAGGAAGTCTAGAAACCAAAACATCCAAGAACGTCCATGACGTTCGGAAACTAGTTCAAGGAGCTACTAGCGTGCCTTAGCCTATTTGACTAGATTTTAGGAATCGAAAATTCATGAAATTTGGTGGAAGGGTGTCTAATATGTGTTTAAGTTGGTTCATGGTTGAAACGTCTGGGTAAGACTCCCAAGGACCAACCAAGGGCCCTTGAGAAGGACCCTTTGGTTTTGGGGTCAAAAGCACTGCCTGGGCATTGTGCACCCGCGAGGGGAGTTGACGGAACGTCTTGATGTTGAATTGAAATGTTTTGATTATGATTGTGAGGTGTTTCTTAAGATGTAAATGTTATAAGGATGGTGAATGATTTACCAATGTGCCTTATCATGATATGAAAATGTTAATGTGCTAACCTCACCTATATGAATTGTAATAAAAGATGAATATTCATGCAACTCTTATTGAGCTATGATGATGATGAATATACAAATTTTAGGCCCTATGACCTATATTAAGCTATGATGATTAATAAAGACATTAAAGACATTTCAAAAAGGGACTTTAGTTTAGCACCGAGTGAACTAGAGTGAGGGGTGTCCCTTCACACATAAGAAAGGTAGGATCCCTATGTACTCCTGAGATTGGATATTAAAATGCATGTAGCATATAGAGGGTCCCAACTATATCTCCTAGTTATTGAACTATGTTGCCCCTATAAGAATACTAGGTAGTGGATCCACGCAGTTGCTATGTTTATGTTTTGGTACTAACTTGGCAAGTAGTCCACCTTCTTTCGGTATAGGGTTCCATGACTCCGGATTCCACATTAGCTCATGTGGTCTATGTCGGTTAGGTAAGATGTTCCCAAAAGGTAAAATGAATTAAAGGAATGAACTCTGACTAAGGTGACCTAAGGGGTTTAGCTTAGTCTAGGTAGGGGCATGAGACTCTACCTAAACATTGCACTAGTTAGCCTTGGAGGGTGTCTTAGGAAAAGGTTTTTATGTATGAATATGCTTATAATGCTATATGACATGTATATGATGAACTTGCACATTGTTGATACTATATGTTAATTGGTGTCACTTATGAATATGTGGTGGTCTATATTGTTAAAGTATGATGTTATATATTCTTAAATGTTATGATACGTGAAGTAGGATGTTATCCAATGTTCTTGTTGGGTTACTTGATTGAGTAAGGTTATGAGCCTTTGCTTGGTCATTACATTTGTTGGCTTGATAGGGCTTCATGATTAATTGTCTTGCTTTGGTTAGGTTGAAATGTACTCTTATTTATGTTTGTTGCCATTATGACTTGATGATAGAGTTACTTGACTATGTATCCAATTACATGATATGCATGTTGAATCGACTATGCCTTGATGCTGTTGGTTTTGTGATGTACATGCCTATGGCTTAATGAATATGCCTAGAGATTTGGTATGATCTTGTTGAATGTGCATAAAGGTTTTTAAATGAAAAATGCATACTTTATGAAATGTCCCTTTTTCTTAGCATGATTTTCAAAGTATGTGTGCATATGATTTCATACTTAGTACAACTGGTGTACTAACCCCATTTCTTACTTTTCCACAACATTTTAGGTTCTGGTCGTTGAAGTTCTTTTAAGACGACTTGAAAAAGGCTTGGATCTCTTATTCATCCAAGTAGAGTTGGTCCTCACTTTCCG